TTTTGCCCAAATATAGTAACCCCTCCCTCCTGCCATCTTCCAGCAGTGACGTCACGGTGCGGTAAGCCTAGTGCCATTCTCCCCGCTTTACAAGCAGAATCAATGGGAACTACTAGACACATCTGCAATCAACAACAATTATTGAAGATTTCCAGAGGACTTCACCATTAAAATTCACCAGAGCTATAGTGAAACTGACAATGCCCACGTGCATGGCAGTTGGATGTTGGAATACATCGGGTAAAAGTGGGGGAAAAAATGAATTATTTCAACTTTTTAAGTCCTGATCCTCCACGGACGGGTTTGTCGTTGGATTGCCAACTTGAAGAGGGAGGATTTGCCATCGAACTTCTGGCCAGAGAAAAAACACGTAATGTGTAGCCAACATTTGGAAGAAGAATGTTTTCAAGATGACTTGGATAATAGCGCGTTGTGACAAACACCAGATACAGCACTGGGACTTGATCAACAGCCGATACCGAACCGTGACGTCACAAACCAGTAGGTGGCAGTAGTGTTCTTTGACAAACATGGATGCCTCCAGTAAAGCGCATTTAAAGGAAAATTACTCTGCATTAAAAACACTTCTCATTTATTGAACAGTATGTAATAATTTTATATTTAAAGTACTTTCAGAAGTACTTTAGTTAAGATGCCTCCAGAACGTCTCCCTGATGAGGTGTTCCAGGAACGTCCCACCGGGAGGAGGCCCAGGACAAGCTGTAGGGACTATGGCTCTGTTCGAAAACCTAGGACGCGTCCTTAGAAGGCCAGATTCGAAGGACGATTACGTCATAGCGCGGCGCCGAGGTCTGGTCGGATTCCAAGAGTCCTCGTTATGCGGCCTTAAAATGCGTCCTTCTTTTTGCCCGATTTGAAGGACGGGTCCGATGTATCCTCGGTATCCTTGGATATCCCAGGATTAATTGCGAGACCAAGCAAGCTGTGATCAGAGTAAAGGTTACTTGGCGCCGAACAGCGGTGAAAATTGGAAGTTCAGTTTAATATAATACAAGTCATTTAATAGTTCCGTCTGAGATTAATAAAAAATAGTTGTTTTAATGTCTATTGAGTCAGATATGTGGCGGTAGTATTTGGTTTATCTAAAGGTTTTATCTGTTACTGTGTAAATGGCTTTGGCTGTAATTTAAGGACAGATTCTAATAGATCTGCAGTGTGGGGACTGTAAATCTGATAGGATTTTTTATCTTTTTATTGCTGTTTTGCACAATATGCTTAACTACGTATTTTTGGTTGTTGAATATTAGAGATTTTGCAGATATATTTTTTATAAATACATTGTTTAGATTTACTTATAGCTCTCTACCCCTTTTATAGAATAGAATAGAAAATCCCCTTATTGTCCCACAATGGGCAAATTTACAGCAGCAGAAAGATTATTAAAAATGGTCACACAAATGTGGAGCTTAGAAAATTGTATAAGAATAACATAATAGGGAGGAGTTAAAATATAAACAATAAAATACTGTAAAGTGTTTTAACAATATAAAACTGGAGAATAATTAACCAATATGCAGCTATGGACATTTTTACAGTAATGGATATTTGAAAATAGCAGCAACATCAGAGATGTGCAGAATGACAGCAGCATGTTATTTAACTGACTAAGGTTTCTATCATTACATTTGATTTTATTTGTTCCTGCTCCCGGCTGTTGGAACCTTTATTCCACTCTGGATTCTTGTGAGTGTAGTCTTTGTTCAGTTTACAATAAAAAAGAAATAAACAGTTTTGAAAACTTCAGTATTCATTCTTTTCCTGCTTTGTGTGTCAACGTTTACGGTTGCTAAGCAACAGAGCATACGGCGGTAAAACCCGCCAAAGGGTGGACCTGTTCGAATTCACAGCCTAAACTCTTCCGGTCTCCTTATTTTCAAGAACTTCGAAGGATCCAGTCCAGGGCTCTGTTCGAAAACCTAGGACGCATCCTTAGAAGACCGGATTCGAAGGCCGATTACGTCATAGCGCGGCGCCGAGGTCTGGTCGGATTCCAAGAGTCCTCGTTATGCGGCCTTAAAATGCGTCCTTCTTTTTGCCCGATTTGAAGGACGGGTCCGATGTATCCTCGGTATCCTTGGATATCCCAGGATTCATTGCGAGACCAAGCAAGCTGTGATCAGAGGAAAGGTTACTTGGCGCAGAACAGTGGTGAAAATTGGAAGTTCAGTTTAATATAATACAACTCTGTGAATAGTTCCGTCTGAAATGAATGAAAATAGTTGTTTTAATGGTTACTGAGTCATATACTGTATGTGGCGGTAATGTTTGGTCTATCTAAAGGTTTTAATCTGTTACTGTGTAAATGGGTTTGGCAGTAATTTAAGGACAGATACTAATATATATATATATATATATATATATATATATATATATATATATATATATATATATATATATATATATATATATATATATATATATATATATATATACTATAAATCTGATAGGATTTTTATATTTTTATTGCTATTTTGCACAATATGCTTAACTTTGTATTTTTTGTTGTTGAATATTAGAGATTTTGCAGATATATTTTTAGTAAATATATTGTTTAGATTTACTTATATCTTTCTACCCCTTTTATAGAATAGAATAGAAAATCCCTTTATTTTCCCACAATGGGAAAATTTACAGCAGCAGAAAGATTATTGAAAATGGTCACACAAATGAGGACCTTAGAAAAATGTATAAGAATAACATAATAGGGAAGAGTTAAAATATAAAAAATACAATTCTGTAAGTGTTTTAACAATATAAAACTGGAGAATAAATAACCAATATGCAGCTATGGACATTTTTACAGTGATGGATATTTGAAAATAGCAGCAACATCAGAGATGTGCAGAATGACAGCAGCAGGTTATTTAACTGACTAAGGTTTCTATCATTACATTTGATTTTATTTGTTCCTGCTCCCGGTGGATGGAACCTTTATTCCACTCTGGATTCTTGTGAGTGTAGTCTTTGTTCACTTCACAATAAAAAATAAATAAATAAACAGTTTTAAAAACTTCTGTATTCATTCTTTTCCTGCTTTGTGTGTCAACGTTCACGGTTGCTAAGCAACAGAGCATACGGCGGTAAAACCCGCCAAAGGGTAGACCCGGTCGAATTCACAGCCTAAACTCTTCCGGTCTCCTTATTTTCAAGGACTTCGAAGGATCCAGTCTAGGTAGACCGCGTCCTTGGAGGACCCGTCCTAGGTTTTCGAACAGAGCCTAGGTAGACCGCGTCCTTGGAGGACACGTCCTAGGTTTTCGAACAGAGCCTAGGTAGACCGCGTCCTTGGAGGACACGTCCTAGGTTTTCGAACAGAGCCTAGGTAGACCGCGTCCTTGGAGGACACGTCCTAGGTTTTCGAACAGAGCCTAGGTAGACCGCGTCCTTGGAGGACACGTCCTAGGTTTTCGAACAGAGCCTAGGTAGACCGCGTCCTTGGAGGACACGTCCTAGGTTTTCGAACAGAGCCTGTTTCTCAGCTGGTCTGGGAGAACCTTGGGGTTCCCCTGGAGGAGCTGGCGCAAGTGGCTGGGGAGAGAGACGTCTGGGCCTCCCTACTGAAGCGGTTACCCCGCGACCCGACCCCGGATAAGCGGAAGATGAGGGATGAATTCTGAATATGACCAGACTTTTCCTTTAAGTACAGTTCCATAACATGAGAGCATTTACATTTCAGCAGTTTATGTAATTAGCTAATAATTTTTTTTTTATAGGGAAGAAAAAAAAGGATGATCTTATTTTTTACATGTTTTTTTTTTTTTATCTTAGGGGTTAAAATCCTCTTTATTAACCTGCTGAAATTAAACACATATCTGCAGAGCAGCTGATGCTGTGAAGGAGCACTGAAGCAGAAAAAGGCCTAATTAAAGTAACAGCAGCAACTGAGCTGATATGAGACTGAAGCCCTGCTGTAGTGACTGGTTCTGGCTGAGATGATGACTCGGCTGCTATCTGGACCGGTCTCTGCATCGAACCGCCCGTGATCTCCAGATGAACCCGTCCTGTGACCCGGGCGTTAGAGGAAGGCCGACGTCCTGCTCACCTGAACAGGCCGATTAACAGCACAGCTGATGAAGGGAAACAGCAAAGAACACACCTTGTTCATAAGTCAGTGCAGCCGATGCTCAATCTGTCATCTCTGGTTTTCATGCTGGGACACATACCAACGGCATGAGGCAGGACATACCTGACATCAACAAGGCTTCAAAACCAAAACAAGCCACAGAAATTCGAAACATACGAATGATGAGGACCTGATTTCAAAAACTGAACCAGGAATCCTTCACATTTTCCACATGGAAAGTTGATTTTTATTAAAGCTGAGAACAAATTAAATCTCCTGTAAATGTCCTCCATGGGGAATGGTGAAGGCGCTTCCTTCCTGACATCAGGAAGGAAAACCGGGTTTCTATTCACTATCAAAATCTGACAATAAAATCCATAAATGGAAAAAAAAATAATTTTGTAAAGTTTTTCCCCGCCAAAAATTAGATTTAAAAGCATTTTAATGCATCCTGTGGATCAAGAACTGCATGTTCTTATTGGTGAACCAGATGAAGATGACAGGAAGTGGAAGATGAACAAACGTATTCAGGTGGGATTTCTAAACCATTTCTGCTCAATAGGAACAAATTAGAGGAGTTTGTTGCTGGTTGGACTCCTACCAGCCAGGAACAGCTGGGGGTGGGGGGTGTTGACTTAAATATGAATAAATGTTCTTCAGAGAAGAAGCTCCGTCATGCAGCTGAGCTCAGCCTTACAACTCCAGTCGGCCACTCCTACTGGTGTAGACGTTGGCATGGTAACCACAAATAGTTTGGTTTTCGGAACCATCTAGATATATAAAGCTATTGTTTTCTACCTGTAAAACTAATTTTATTCTATAGAAGTGTAGTTGTTGCTTTATTATTTAAAACTAATTATTTAGCTTCGATCATTAAAGAGCGGGGCATATTTAAGACAGAAAAGCTGCAGCCTACAGGATGTTTTAAGTGTTTTTATTTAAAACAGTAAAAACTGGACAGGAATGAAGAGAAATGGACGACATACACGGTATGTTAAAAAGCTGGGCTCCTCAGAGCCGAGGCGTTCATGTTGGCTGAGCAATCAGCAGGTTGTCTCTCACTGGCGACATGGGCTTTGGTTTCTTAGAGGAGCTCATCTTCACAGGTTCCCTGAAAACAAAAACACTGATGAGATCTGGATGTTCTGAGGAAACGGCTCCGACAGACACTCTACTTCTTTAATGACAGAGGAAATGCCAACCTGTTGCTTAGATTACAGCGAGGAGTAAAACAGAAACGCTTTGCAGATCAAAATAGCGGCCCTAAAATAAACATGAACCACTTCCTGTGACGGTAGAAAGCATCAGGCCACAGCGGCTCCTCTGAGCGACAAATATGGAGTCAGAAAGCAGTCAAAATGTTTGTTAAGTTCTAAACCTTGATATTTAATATGAAGTTTTTACCTCATAATGTGAAACACTAAAAAAACCATACATAAAAATAAAAAATTGAATCCAAATTCAGTTTAATATTTTAATAACATTTTTCCTTTTAAATTTCTTTTTAGAAAGTGACTGACAGCATGCAGCAGCGCTGGAGACTTAGACAACTTCTATTGTCGCTTTGTAAACATATAGTGTCTACAAAATGACATTTTGTTTGTGATCAAATGTCCCTTTTCATGTTGCATTCATGGACTGTGGAGCTACAACTACTTGCTCAAGAAGTTGGAGTTCCCACAGTCCATGAATGCAACATGGGACCAGACATCTCTCCAGCACTGCTGCAAGCTTTCAATCATGTTTCCCCGCCCACTCCCGTCAGATTGGAGTCAAAATCTGAATGTGAAAAAAACTCATTTGAAAGTGTAAAAATAATCCTGAGAAGAAAAAAAATCAAAAAGGAATAAAAAAAAAAAAAAAAAAGAAACTTAAAGGGATTTGAAGTGTAATAAAAATACCAGACTGAATTGGGTTTTTTCATGCTGAGGGGAAGAATTTAGAATTCACTTTTTTAGTTTTTTATATTATACAGTAAAAATTTGACATTCAATATCAACTTATATTTTTTCTGTTTCAACTAACATTTCTAAGTTTATAAACATTTGGACCCTTTTCAGAGTCCATACACAAACCACGGAGTTGAAGGAAAATGTTCACTAATATTAAATAAGATCTAACATCATCATCAGGACTTTCTTACTTCTTAAAGCTGAAGTTCTTCCAGAGGCTGCTAATGGTGGCCTGGACTCCAGGGTTGTTCTCGTTGTTGCTGGAGGAGCTTTTCTTCTTCCTCAGACCGCTGGCTCTGGCTGGGCCCAACATCGGCGAACCTGCCGCCTGGTTCCGAACGCTGGATTTCAGCCTCGACAGTCCAGAAACCTGGAGACAACAGGAAGCAGCTGCAGGAGGTCCGAACGTTGAAGACAGAAGTCCATCAGAGAGTACAGTAGGAGGAGGACAGAACCAGAGCTGCTGAAAACAAGCAGTCAGGAGAAGCTGGACAGCGTCAGCAAGGGATGATTTCAATCTATGGCTGCCTGTCAGTGGCCTCATTAGCGCCTTTATTAGCCACACCTTAAGGCCAACCATTAGCACTACCTCCGTCATGCTAGCCCATGTTATGCTAGCCCTTGTTTCACCAACCCACGTTATGCTAGCCCTTGTTTCACCAACCCACATTATGCTAGCCCACGTTATATTAGCCCACGTTTCACCAACCCACATTATGCTAGCCCACGTTATATTAGCCCACGTTTCACCAACCCACATTATGCTAGCCCACGTTATATTAGCCCACGTTTCACCAACGCACGTTTTGCCACCTCATGTTTCACCAACGCACGTTTTGCCACCTCATGTTTCACCAACCCACGTTATGCCACCCCATGTTTCACCAACCCACGTTATGCTAGCCCATGTTATATTAGCCCACGTTTAACCAACCCACGTTATACTAGCCCATGTTATATTAGCCCACGTTTCACCAACCCACATTATGCTAGCCCACGTTATATTAGCCCACGTTTCACCAGCCCATGTTTCACCAACGCACGTTTTGCCACCTCATGTTTCACCAACGCACGTTTTGCCACCTCATGTTTCACCAACGCACGTTTTGCCACCTCATGTTTCACCAACCCACGTTATGCCACCCCATGTTTCACCAACCCACGTTATGCTAGCCCACCTTATATTAGCCCACGTTATATTAGCCCACGTTTCACCAGCCCATGTTTCACCAACGCACGTTTTGCCACCTCATGTTTCACCAACCCACGTTATGCCACCCCATGTTTCACCAACCCACATTATGCTAGCCCACGTTATATTAGCCCACGTTTCACCAGCCCATGTTTCACCAACGCACGTTTTGCCAGCTCATGTTTCACCAACCCACGTTATGCCACCCCATGTTTCACCAACCCACATTATGCTAGCCCACGTTATATTAGCCCACGTTTCACCAGCCCATGTTTCACCAACGCACGTTTTGCCAGCTCATGTTTCACCAACCCACGTTATGCCACCCCATGTTTCACCAACCCACGTTATGCTAGCCCATGTTATATTAGCCCACGTTTCACCAACCCACATTATGCTAGCCCATGTTATATTAGCCCATGTTTCACCAACCCACATTATGCTAGCCCACGTTTCACAAGCCTATGCTTTGCTAGCCTGCGTTTTGTTAGCCAACAGAACCATGAACGGCATCAGAACCTTGCTGACTGATTCATCGCCAATATCCATAAATCAGTTTCTGTCTCTGAAAAGGAATTTCTGGATTCTTAAAGAAGGATTGATAGAAATACTCTTTTTCTGAAAATTAAGGAAAGGAATAACGTCTAGGAATCGGGTTAAGAAGGAATAAACCAACAGTGATCACAGCTCAGACTTTCCGCCATGTTCTCCAGCTGTGAAAGGGAGCCAATGGAGCATCTGGAAAACCCACCTTGGAGCCCAGCAGGGCTGGTTTCCCAGTGGCCTCAGTCACAGGAGCAGGACTCCCTGGTTCTGAACTGGTCTCCTGGCAAAGAACAGAAAAATAACCATAAGAACCTAAAGCAGAGGATTTAAACTGGTCCAAACTCCATTAAGATTCTGCTGCTGTTTTAGGAAGCCCCTAGGAAATGACTGACAGGAAGGGATGAAGAACGACAGCAATGAGGATGATGATGGCAGGGGATCGTCCAGAACGACCCATATGGCTCACATGGTCCGCTGGATGGTGGATGCACGCTGAGGAAGCTAACTAGCAACGTGCTAACAGCACTGAGAACTGAACCATTTTAGAGGATAGGAGGAAACGTATGGAGCGCTGTTTATCTAATATTCAATTGGATAAACACATTTCCACAGGAAATAAACAGAAAAAATATAAATTAAAATAAATTTTGGCTAATTTTTCCATTCTTTGTTTTTTTTTTATTAACTTCCATAAATTTTTTTTCCTAGTTTTATTTAGTATACATTTATTTTGGCAGAAACTGGGCTCCATACAAAAAGCCAAACCTTTTAAATTCTCTAAAGCATGACTCAGCGAATTTCATCCTCTCTAATCTGAGGGATTATATCTACAGGTTCCCTCAGAGCATAGAAGCCGTTTGGCGCTCCAATTCTAAAACAGCTGGTTTGGACCCCACCTCCTCCACCGCCTCCACCGCCACCCAGCAGCAGCTCTGAACCACAGAGGTGTGACTTACAGGGGAGAAGCTGCAGGGGAGGACCTCGTCTCTCTGGCTCTGGGAGAAGTAAGCGCTGTCCTGGGAGGGAGGAGAGTCTGGGGGGTTGTCCTTGTTCTCTGATTTCATTTCTGAGGGGGCGGAGCCTCCAGAAGGTGACCGAGCCTTCTGAAGACTGGAGGAGACGTCTCTCTGATACTCAAAGCGCTGCAAGGCTGCTAGGCCTGAGGGAGACTGTGCTGCTCTGCAGCGATGGGAGCCGCCTGACCACTGGAACAGCTTCAGGCCCCGACCAGCTGGAGCAGGGGACACAGGAGGGCTGGGGCCAGGGGACACAGGAGGGCCAGGGGCCGCTGCAGGGGGGCTGTCAGGACCATCGCTACCCCCAACAGAAGATCCCTCCACCGTGGGCTCCAAAGGTTCAGCAGAAGGCCTCTCAGCGCTTCCTGGACTCCAGCTGCTGAAGAATCTGGAAGGAAGAAGAAGAACAGTAGAGCTGAGGCCTAAGAGGCGTCCCTAGACACAAACACACAACATGCGATAGCAGCTGCAGTCCGAGGCAGGAAGGAGAGAGAGGCTCATTGGTGGGAAACAGACCAATCAGGAGAAAGAGCTTCTCCACCTCATCGATCTGCTGCTGTCGTCCTCTCCTCATTACTGCTCCCAGTTGGTCCCCAGAAAACAGGTTACAGGATTCCAGTTCCTGAGGGCCGCTAATGTAACTTTTAGATCTGCCTTTGGTTCAACACACCTTAATGAAGTAAATTGATGATTTAGAGGACTCTGGAGGAACTGACTGTGTCCTGAGGAGCGAACTCAGCCATTTGATTCAGGTGTGTTCGACCAAGGATGGATCTAAAAAGTTGCAGGAACTGGAATCGCCCACCACATCTATAAAACCTCTAGGATCATCTCCATCTGCTTCTTTCCTGCACAGGATGAAGGTGCAGCAGTGGTTCAATCGTTAACCTCCATATAACGAGCTACAGCTGCGACTCTGCTCTAGATTTATAGAGATAGATGCTAGAGCGGGAAAGATGCAGACTTCCAGCACAGTCAAACCAGCTGGAGAAAGGATGGTTCCTCTGAGTTTCCCACAGTGGCAGTGGGTGAAATGTCTCCTCCACTGTAGCACAGGCCGAGGGAGAGCTCTTCACTTTTCTCTACTTGGCTGGTTTGAAGGATGAGAAGCTTGATTCAACAACAGGTTTATGGGCTGGAATCAAAGATCACAACCAATTAAGTTCACAGCAGTGGTCACAGCACACCTGGCGCCCGTCTAAGAACCGAATATAGCCGAACTGATTGGACCGAATCTGACTGAATAGAACCAGGCCGAATAGAACAGACTCGAACCGAATAGACCTGGACCACATTGACCTGGACCAAATAGAATTCGACAAAATAGAACTGAATAAAAGAAAACAGGAAAAAACCCAAACCAAATACAAGAGAACAGAATAGAACCGAACTGAATAGAATAGAACAGAATAAAACATAACCTAATAGAATGGAAACCAATAGACTAGAGTAGAAGATCTGGGACCGGCCCCCACAGAGGGTCCCACCCTCCTGGATGGAGTCTCCTCCATGGGTCCCTGAGCTGCTGATTTGTTTGGAATCAAACAGCCATTCTAGAAACTCTACAGCTAGGCTTGTCTGTTTCACAGCCTAAAGCTGTCAGTTTATTGGAGCATCTAGAATCTGTCAGGAAGGCTGACACCGATCTGATGCTGCAGCTGCTGTTTCTCTGTGAACCAATCTGGAAGCAGCTGCTAGTTTAGGCTCCTTAAACTGAAGAGACTTTTCTAAAGAAAACTAAACCGCTAGATCAAGAACCAATCAGAGGCTGTGGTTTGCTGATGACATCACCTGCTGTGGGTGGGCTGGCTGCCGCTCTCCTCCTCCTCCTCCTCGTTTCTCCTCTGCAGCAGCGTTGCGGAGGCAAAGCAGTTACGGAGCCGAGGCTGGCTGCTGCTGACCGTCGGCCTGCCGGCTTCTGGCTTGGTTCGTTTGGACCCTGAGGGGGAGTACTGCTGCAGCACCTCCTGGTCCGAGAGACAGGACTCTGGAAGACAGAAAAGACCTCTAATAAAAAAAAAAACTTTCTTATCTAAATGTTTATTTGGTTTAAATGTTTTATTACTTTAATATTCTGGAGTCAAATAAAAATGTCTGAGTTCTTCTTCCAGCTCACCTTCTCTCCTCCTCTTCATCAGCTGCTCTCTGTGCTGAAACCTTCGGTGATCCCCACCAGCGGCTCTCTGCTGCTCCCTGGTGGAGGGCGCTCCGTCTGCAGCAGCTGCTCTGAAGTTCCTGCTCCAGATGCTGGTTCCTGCTGGAGCCTTGGAGCTGCTGGACTGGAGAGACATTTCCAAACATGAGGGACTTGATGCCATCGCTTCTGATATCCATTCTGACCTTCATCAACAAGAGAAAGGATACCTGGGGGCGGGGCTTGTCTGGACTAAAGTCATCTATCCTCTCCATAGTGTTGATGTCCAGGTTTCCCAGCGCCAGATCCAAGCCTTTGTCTTCTCCTACATTTCTGAACACAACGTCACTAAGGGGGAAATCTCACTGATACTAAAAAGCCATGAGGTGAAAGAGAGCATCAGAGACAGAGGATACGTTCCGGCGTAGCTGAGGGAGGCTGGGTCCACGTGCTCTGGGTACGGATTCAGAGGGACCACCTTCCTCCTGACAGGATCAAACACCAGCTGGTACAGGAAAGTGTTATTGGCTCGGATGAAGCCCTCAATGTACTGATCCGGAACCACCAGGTTCATCTTCAGGTACTGACCCATCTTCCTGATAACCTGGTGGGAGGAGGAGGAGGTTCAAACATGTGGTCGTCTCCACCAATAAACAGACCAGAGCAAACAGAACAGAGCATTTGAAGGGAACTCATGGTCTAGTTCTGCCCCCTAGGGGAGGGATGTAGCACCAACATTTTAATACTTTCACCTTCCTGTTTTATTTATCTATCATACAGCTTTTATTTTTTTTTAAATTCGAAACTATTATTTACACTAAAAGCAGAATGGTCTGAGTTGGACATTTTCCTTCAGTAGTTTTTTATGACCCTGATAATGTTTGATCATGTAGGCAAACAGAAGGTCTGTCACAGGTCAGTCAGAGCGCTGCGGCATTAAAAGAAAAGGCCGCTCATATTCCAGATTCAAACTTCTTAAATTACTTTAAATATGAAATTATTACATCCTGTTCAATACATGATACATTTTTAAATTCAGAGTAATTTTCCTTTAAATGTTCTTTACTGGAGGCATCCATTTTGTCAAAGAACACTACTGCCACCTACTGGTTTATGACGTCACTGTGCGGTATCGGCTGTTGATCAAGTCCCAGTGCTGTATCTGGTGTTTGTCACAACGCGCTATTATCCAAGTCATCTTGAAAACATTCTTCTTCCAAATGTTGGCTACATATTACGGGTTTTTTCTCTGGCCAGAAGTTCGATGGTAAATCCTCCCTCTTCAAGTTGACGATCCAACGACCAACCCGTCCGTGGAGGATCAGGAATCAGAAAGATGAAATAACTTTTTTTTTCTCTTTTACTCGATGTATTCCAACATCCAGCTGCCATGCACGTGGGCATTGTCAGTTTCACTATAGCTCTGGTGAATTTCAATGGTGAAATCCTCTGGAAATCTTCAATAATTGTTGTTGATTGCAGATGTGTCTAGTAGTTCCCATTGATTTAGCTTGTGAAGCGGGGAGAATGGCGCTAGGCTTACCGCACCCTGACGTCACTGCTGGAAGATGGCAGGAGGGAGGGGTTACTATATTTGGGCAAAAATGGCCGCTCCCTAATTCCATGTAAAAAAAAAAAAAGTAAAACTCTGCATGTCAAATAAAAGTGGGAAAAATAAACAATGGTCACAATTTCAAATGAAAAATGGTATAAAATCTGCTAATTGTCTCAGACTTCTACAAATTCGCTAAAATGGAGGGAATTCAACCGGAAATTTTCATTCAATTCTTTATCACGCCATCTATTAAAAGTTAACTACTGTCCACCCAGTAAATGTGTTGGAGGCAATGTGGCGCTGCTGACGCCAACCATGCACATGTTTTCTGGAACTGCATTGAGATCAAACCTTTCTGGTCTTCTATCCCCCTTCCTCTGTGCAAAGAACTGTTGTATTCTGTTCCATTTACTTTTACCACAATGTATCTGGGCCTTATGTCTAATGTGAAAAAAGATGATCAGCATTTGGTTAAGATATGACTGTCAGCAGAGGGAGGAAAGCCATAACAAGAAGATGGCTCAGACGTGAGCCATCCAACCATACTCAGTGGAGGGACATTATGGAGGAAATATTCACTATGGAAAGAATGACTTTCATTTTAAGACTGAAAAAAGCTAAATTCAAAGAAAAATGGGAAAAATGGATAACATAAATTAGCCTCGGAAACTGACTGACTTGTATCACGTCAACCGGTTGCTGTCTTTGGTTCGACTGTTCATTTTGTTTTGGTTTAGTACCTTGCTGATGCTCAGAGGGCTGACATCAGTTCATTGATTCTTTTATTGTCAAAAAAAATAAAGATAAAAGTGGGGGGAAAAAATGGCCGCTCCCAGACTGTGATCACGATAAATATTATTGTTTTTATTGATTAAGGCCAAATTCATTAAATTACCACTAACGTATTAGTTTTAGGTATAAATAATGATCCATTGATTATTCCCTGCTGACCGTTTTTTTTCCTTTAAAGGAGGAAGTCTGAATACTTTAGTCTTCCTAACAATAAAATGGCTCAGAGGGAATAGAGGCAATTAAAATGAATGTTAGCATTAGCATTAGTGGACCTGGCTACCAGCTGGCTGACAATACGGAAAAAAAGCAGATGAGCGTGAGGGCGCCACTTATAGGCCAGGAGGAGTTAAACTCATCATCGCCATTTCTCCTGATGTCTGCAGAGCAGCTTAGAACAAACCAATAAATATACATCATGTTAGGGATGTCGCAGTAAAAGTATTTCATTTCCGATACAATAACGACCTGTTGCCATATTAGCATGTATCATACTAGCTTTTATTCATTATTTAACAGAGCTACAGGTAGAAAAGGCTCCATCAACTAAAGTCGGGCATACACTGTACCTTTTTTTTTATTATTGCACGCAGCTACAGCTCCAACTGTACGATGAAACCTCAGGCTTTAAAAGTTCACAGCTCACAATGTTTGTTCACTCTGATGCGATCTACCTGCTCACACTGTACGTCTAAAAACCATGACTGTCGCAGCTCTGCAGTGAGATGGCGCTACTCGGACTCATCTATCTGGAAGCCAAACCAGTACAAGAGGAATATGAAGCTCATTAGTAGGGGTGTGGGAAATAATCGTTTTGGCGATATATCGTGATATTCGCCTGCCCAATATAATATCAATCTTTCACTTCTTAGTATTGATTTTCAAAAAAAAAAAAAATGGTTTCATAAAACATTGATGGGAAAATGGGCTACCTCTGCACCACCACTCTGGCAGAAAGCGCTGTGGAGCCCTTTAACTGTGCGTGCAGCACCAAATCTGTATTTGAGGCAGTCACAGTGGAAGAAAACCCCAAACAACATGGATAATAATACCTAATCAATATTTTCTGATGAAAATATACAGCACTTGCTGTTTAATCTCATCATTTGATTTTGATAGCTGGGGAAAATATGGCAATATATAGTGATACTGCAATATCGTGATAATATCGTATCGTGACCCAAGTATCGCGACATGTATCGAATCGCAACAGTCATGCCAATACTCACCTCTACTCACTAGAGTGAAACGCGCTGCCTTGGAAATTTGTGCAATTTTGTGCTGAAAGCCCTAAAAAGAAAAGGTGACGACGTATTTGGACAAAGACATGGCTGAGCAAACGTAGCTACTACGGTATGTCAATTTGACAGAAAGAACTCCATTTCACTCGCACCCTTTCAAACATGTTTGATTTTCTCCCGACCTTAAGATTCCTGATGGGGAGATGGTGGTGAGAAGCTGATCGCCCCTCGTTACCCCCTGTACACTACAAGATGCACCAATCAGGCTGAAAGTCGGCCTGATCGAAAAATTCTCGCACGACTGGAGAATCGGCCCGAAAAAGGGCAAAGAATCATACAGTGTATGCCTGGCTTAAGAACAATCTGACCCAAGTAAAATTAACCCAGGAGTTACAGAACCAGCAGCAGTAAGTTCCTATCAGCATGAAAATATCAGGCTAGGCTCCAAAACAGCTAGGCTTGATAAACGTCCACTGATGTGTTCAGGATCAGAGGGTTTTTGGAGAAATGGCGGTGACTGTGAGCTTCAGGGCTGCAGCTCCGTTTTTTAGGACCTGGGAACATCTAGAAACCAGATTTTCATCGATAAAATAAACTTATCGAGCCCCCACCTTCAGGATGTCGGGGTCCTTTGCGAGCCGCAGCAGCTTGCAGGCCTTCCCCAGGCCGATGCCGTGCAGGGAGGGGAGATAATCACAGCCAGCCAGGATGCACATGTAGCGGAACTTCTCCTGGGTGAAAACGTCCCCCAGGGAGCGGCAGCGGCCCAGGTTGTTCAGGTCGATCTCCACCCCGTTGCCGTGCTTGTCCATTTTGAGAATCACCTACAAACAGGAAAAGATCAAACATGTTTCCTAGCGACTGATGAGACAAAGGACCAGGAGCACTTCACCTCCTGAAACCACTAGCTTTAGCATTAGCAGGTCCAACCTCTCAGCAGTAACTGCTGCTGGATGTCTGTATTTAGTGCCTCTGGTCTGAAATACATGCCTGGTTGAAACATTTACTCTGCTGGTATAAGTCCAAACTAGAGCAGCGCTGAGCCGTCTGAGGGCCCCTGGAAGATAAGAAGAGCTAATGTTGGGCTAAAAACCCAGAAGGCTGCTCTATGGGCCCTGCTGTCTTTGGGGCTCAAGCAGGGAATCGGCTGTTCTCCAGCACCGCCCCTCACCATGCTCCCTGCTAACTGGTCACTGATCAACCTGAGCAGCTCCTTCGTGGTGGGAGGAACCAAAGCTAGAAGTGGTTCCTAGAATTTCTAAAAGTAGAATGGGAGGCAGATCTTTTAGTTATCAGGCTCCTCTCCTGTGGAACCAACTACCAGTTTTAGTTCGTGATGCAGACACCCTGTCTACTTCTAAGGCTAGGCTTAAAACTTTCCTTTTTGATAAAGCTTATAGTTAGAGTGGCTCAGGTTATCCTGAGCTATCTCTATAATTATGCTGCTATAGGCTTAGACTGCTGGAGGACATAGGGACCCCTATTTATCATTCTATCTCTATTCTCCCACTCTGCAGAATCTATTAGTTTAATCTCTAACGTTCTGCTCTCTCTGCTTTTTCTCATAGTAGCTTCATCTGGTCTGTTCCTGTTTGGCTGTGACTCCATCCTGGAGAGAAATATCAGCTGTGCTGCTGCCATCAATGCCTTTGTTTATAGATGTTGGAGATCGGTCTGTTTTTTCAGTGTAGTCCTGTTTCTCTGACTGTGACTAACTGGATGTGCTCTCTTCATCCTCTGACATGGGAGCTGGCTCAGAGCTCGTCTACGTGTTTCCTGGACGGGGCCGCCTGTGGAGCTGGCTGACAGTTGCCTTTTGTATCTATGCTTCTTTTTCTATGTCTGCTTCTGTCTCCATGAACCCCAGTCGGCCTCAGCAGATGGCCGCTCACACTGAGCCTGGATCTGCTGGAGGTGTGAGGGATTGCCTTTGAGTCATTGAGTCAATGCATTCAACTGGTTTTCCTTAGATAGAAAACTTTTAATCAATCTGAGTGGATAATCTGGTGAACTGGAAAGTGCCTTGAGATGACATGAGTTGTGAATTGGCGCTATAGAAATAAACTGAATTGAATTGACAGTTGGGTGTATTTAGGCCGTCAGCAGTCCTGCTTTTGTTCCACTCACCGTTTTGCAGCCAAATGCCAACAGGTCCGAATCCTCAGTGATGACAGCTTGAGCAAAGCCAGATTTGGTGAGGTAAGCTAGCTGAGCATCAGCTTCATAGGGAGCCACCACACAGTCCACCCCCCTCTGCCTGGCAGCCTGGATGAGGAAAAAACATCACATTAAACCACATCCCTGCAGAGAATAATGGTCCAATGTTTCCAGACTCCAAAAGCAGTAATATCATTCAGACGGATCCTAGATTCCATCTTTACTTCGTTCCATAGATGAACTGAAGAAGCCGTACCTTAATGAGGTTATGAGCCATGGTGGGTGTGATGTTAACGCAGCGTCCGAAGCAGTCTCTGGCCTCGGACAGTTTGCCTTCCCGCAGCAGCTGCCGGCCTTTCTGAAGGTTGGCCTCCCTGCGCCTGAAAGAGACACAAAGAAACCAAAACCTTTATAGTAGAGATGGTTAATGAGGCCTCTTGAAGCCAAACTGTATTAATCCTGCTTTGATACTGTGTCAAAGAATACTGACACCTGCTGGACATTTAAAGACACTACAGGCAGCTTATTAGACAAGACTAAACTGAATTGATTTGATGACCTAGGAAAATTATATCATTGTAGGTTATATTGTATTATTTCATATCTATGTTTAAATTGAAAATATCTTTAATATTTCTATGTGCAGCCAATAAATAACGTAACATTTATCATAATGTGAAAATTTAGGGGAATATGTGAATGAGGATGATTGTGGACTAGGATTTTGAATAATAATTTTAAAACAACAAGTACAGTAAAAACAGTAAATAAACTAAGAGTCAATTTGAAATTAACTTTAATTGAGATAAGTTGAGTGATAACTGAGAGGAAAAGGATGACACAACAAGAAAATTTAAATAAAAACACAACGGCTGAAATATTCCTGTTTCTTTTAGGCTGCTCCAAAATTCTTTATTTTAATCATAAAATGCAAAAGTTGAGAATTTTATTTTAGCCGATGCATCATGTTGACATGTATCGGTCACATGACTTTCTGGAAACGGCACGCGCACCGATAGTGTTTTTCTCTCTGGGCTCCACGCATCGCTGTAGCTGGACTCATCACTAGCATTAAGGCAGCGAAGGATCACGCACGGAGGAGGTCAGCTCCACTGCTGCTGAAGCCACAGCAAAGGGACTGGAAAACTAAATAAAAAGATTTTTCTTATCATTTGTATGCAAAAGTTCAAACAATTGTTTTATTTTACTGCATTTAAATATTGTTTTTCTGATTTGTAGTCAGAAAATTGTAATGAGGGTGGCCAGGCAATAACCAATGTCCACTGAGGGGGGGGCCGAAAGCGGATAGGCGCCAGAACCTCAGGCTCAATCTATGCTGTTCCAACTGGAAAATTAATGAGTGAAACATCCATATTTTCTAAATAAAGACAAACTATACTTTCCAACCAAAAAAACCAAAATAAACTCCTAGAAAAGATGGGAGGCTGTTAGAGAAAGTGGTCTGTTGGATAAACCTGATGAATCATTTTAAAATGTGCTTCCTTCACCTGATAGGAGATCAAAGCATTATTGGGACAGTAAACATTCAGAAAGTTACTGTTTCAGAAAGGTTTTTACATTTTCCTTTAACTACTTGCTATAGTCACCACATTGCAAATAGTGGTTGTGAAAAGAAATAAATTAGTTTTCCCATTTACAAGTCAAATATCATATATAACTTGAAATATTAACTTCCGTAAACTTGTAGTGGCAGATGGTGGATAAAGATGACAACAGTTCCCCAAATGGGTTAACTACAATAAAGAACTTAAGTAAAGACGAATATTTGGCAAAAAAAATAATACTTCACAAGTTCGAAAAAAAGGAAATTAAAAACAATCCACTGGAATTTGTTTGCAAGTTTGAAGATGTTTTGCTTCCCATCCAGGAAGCATTTTCAATTCAAAATGGGGGTTGTTTGGGCGCTTTGTTAGCCTGCGATGCTTCATATCTGTCTATGTCTCTGAAAGAGGGGTCGTTAAAGGGAACCTTTGGCCTGGCTGAATAGGTAGCTATTCTGTTCCCCTGTCACGGGGTGGGGGTTGCAATGATAGAGGGAAGGAATCAACTGTATTGCTTTGTTGTAGGCTTTAAAAAGCTGAAACCTGAGTTCATCCCCTCTGTTTAAGGGGCTTCCTTCACCTCCCTCTCAAATCACCTGTCTTCTTGGTCTAAAATGTGAACATTCTGGTCCTGAAAAGAATGTTGTCTGTCCATAAGGTGTAGCTGGACAGCCTAGTCTTGTCCGGAGGAGGCCACTCTTCTGTCTTGGGTCATGTATCTGTGGTTGTTTGGTTTCTCCAATATAAAGATCAGAGTATTCCTCCGATAGGAAGAATCCCCACAATAAGAGGCACACCAAATAACTCCTACAAAAGTACAGGCTAACAAAAGAAGCGCAATGACCCGCATTCCAAAGAGTGGACCCGTTGGTCTGTTCCAATTCACATGCTTTCTAAACAAAAACAAGGCTTTGTTTCTGTCCACTCTATAAAGCTATTCTAACGGATGGGAAGCGAACCGTCTTCAAACTTGGAAACAAAGTCCAACGGATTGTTTTTCTTTTTTTTTTAGAATGACTACGACATGGATGACAGAGACTCTTTACCAGCATATTCTTTCCCACAGCCTTTGCTAACAAATAGACGCATATATTTAAACATCCATGGCCTCTAAATAAAAGGAATAGTGAATAAAATTATTTCAGGTTTGAGATCTGAGTATATCTTTTCCATTGTCATTACTTACCTACTTTTATCGATAATCATTCTGCATAAAATTGATATTTACAAGCACTAATATCTACAGAAATAAATTATTTAACAAGTTTTTATTAAAATAGTTATTCATGATTTCACTGAAGACTGCTAGATGATTTGATGAGACTCATCATTTTATCTTTACCTCCTAAAACACAAAATCTAGTTCTGAAAAGATTATGAATTCTATATTTATCATCTTTAATGTTAGTATATTGATGTGTATAATTAAACACAAAAAACGTTAATGTTTTGAATATTCTACTTCAGAGTATTTCTGCTACCACCATCTGTGTTAGAGGGAAATAAATGGTAGGGGTGACCAATGGTTGGCTAAAGGCCCTGGCCCCCCATCTAGCTCTGCGCCTGGGTGGGTAACTCACTCTCTGCGGGTCTTTTCCACTTCCTGTTTAGACGGCAAATTACGGCCATCAAACACCAGAATGGGTTTGACTGAGAAGTTTAACATCATGTCCACAAACTTCATGCAGTACCAGACGTACCTGGAAGGACAAAGATAGAAAAGTGAGGAAGATTTCTTCTCTGTTTTGACATGAAAATGTCGGAGCTCCTTACTGGTCGGTTGGTTCCCCTTTAGCCAGCTTCTCAGCACAGGAAAAGGCTCCTTTATGCAGCCAGCAGTAGGTGTCCACAGCCACAGTCTGCCCTTTATATTTCCTGATGCTCACCGGCTCTGCTGCATCTTTGATGAACTGCAGCAGTCCTGAGATCCCCATGGTCAGATCCAGCAGCCTGGAGAGGAGAGACCAGAAGTCATAGCTTCCTCTCTATTGCCACGATGCAGTCTGCATTTCAGACATAAAAAAAAAAAAAAAAGGTACGGTTTCCCCAGAAACCAGTGGGATTTGAACCCGTAGTGATGGATCCAGCAACAGCGATGCATGGAGCCCATAGAGCTAAACACTGTATCGGTGTGCTTGTCGTTTCAGGAAAGTCATGTGACCGATCCAGGAGTTGTTTCCAACTCACCGAATCACTAAATTGTATTTAAAAACGTATCTGTCAACATGATGCATCTGCTAAAAAGTTTCTCATCTTTTACGGTTTGTCATTAAAATGATGAAGAATTTTGTAGCAGCCTAAAAGGAACAGGAGCGTTTGAGCCGTTCCATTTTTATTTTATTTCCTCATTCTGTTAGTCTTTTCCTCTCAGTTATAACTCAACTTCATCTGAATTAAGGTGAAATTTCAAAATGACTCTTAGTCTATTTAATGTTTTCATTGTAGTTATTGTTTTAAAATCATGTTCTGCTGGAGGTTTCTTCCTGTTCAAAGGGAGTTTTTCCTCTCCACTGTCGCTACAAGCATGCTTAGTGTGAGGGATTGCATTCGAGTCAATGAGTCGATGCAATCAACTGGTTTTCTTTAGATAAAAAACTTTTAATCAATTTGACTGGATGATCTGATGAACTGGAAAGTGGGAATTTGTAATGTGTTTTTAATTGCCTCTATAGAAATAAACGGAATTTATCTGCTCAATGGAACAGTGGGTAGCACTGCTACCTTGCAGCAAGAAGGTTCCGGGTTCCATTCCTGCATGGAGTTAGCATGTTCTCCCTGCGCATGCGTGGGTCCTCTCCGGGTACTCTGGCTTCCTCCCACAGTCCAAAAACATGACTGTTAGGTTAATTAGCTTAGGTGTGAGTGTGTGTGTGAATGGTTGTTTGTCCTGTTAGTCTCTGTGTTGCCCTGCGATGGACTGGCGACCTGTCCAGGGTGTAGCCTGCCTCGTACACAGCTGGAGATAAGTACCAGCACCCCTCGAGACCCCAGCAGGGATAAGCATGATGAGAAATGGATGGATGGATGAATGGAATTTAAAATCCTAGTCCACAAGCTTCCTCATTCACATTTCCCCTAAATTTTCCCGTTATGATAGGTTTAAATTATTTATTGGCTGCATCTAAAATATCAAAGATATTTTCAATTTAATGTTTAATTTAAACATAGATATGAAATAATACAATATAATCTACAATAAGTTAAATCGGAGGTCTTCAACGGGGGGTCCGCAACCCCCTATTGAAGACAGCATGGGGGTTGCAAAGTTTTGACTTTTTTTTTTTTTTTTTTAACATTCCCCCCTGCAATTCTTTTCCACCAAATTAAATGTCTTTAAATTAACACGAATTCAACAGACTGTAGTAAACAGATAAATGGAGGCAGAAGATGTCTTTCAGTCATCAATGCACACATTCAGTGACACACAGGAGCTCTTTCAAGCTGGGCACCGTTTCATTCACAACACCTGTCCGATCAACCAGGAATCAGAATCAGAAATACTTTAATAATCCCAAGGAGAAATTACTTTCATTACATTACTCCATCTGTAATAGAGTGACTATAGGACCAGTTTGATAGAACACAATTTCATACAATGTATATGATTAGGGGGTCCTCACTGCATCTTGCCATCAATTTGGGAATCCTTGGTCTGGAAAACGTTGAAGACCCCTGGTTTAAGGGGTTCCAGGCATGTCCCCCCAGAAGGAGGACAATATAACCCAGAATAACTTAAATTATATCATTATTCTAGGTCATCTAATTAATCCAGTTTAGTCTGTCAATCAGCTGCCTGTCGTGTCTTTAAATGTCCAGCAGGTGTCAGTACTCTGTGAAACGGTATCAATGCAGCATTACTACAGTTTAGCAATGAGTCCAAACGTTTCTAGATGCCTCATGAATCAACAGACACTTCTAACCCGCTACCAGGAGCCACCGACCGTCCCTCAGGATGACGGTTACCTGCTTAGTTACACCAACATGGCGTCTGACCAACATCTAACTTCAGAAACTTTCCCCTCTTCCTCCACGGTAGCGGTTATAGCTGCTGTTTGACCAGCAAAACAAGCTGTAGTATTAAAGTAAAGCCTCTGAGCCTTAAACTCACCTCTCTGCTCCCCATTCAGCAGCTCGAAGCTGGAAGCAGGTTTGCTTTTAGCGCTAAAAGATGGGATCCAGTAAGGGATGCCGCGATTGGCTAAAGGACGAGCTGGGCGTTCCCAGCCGAGAAATCGACCAATAGGTAGGCAACCTGTACCGGAAGTAAAAAAAAAAAAAAATAACCCGCTTGACTATCACGTATGGTCACGTGCTGAGGCATACAATTGGATGACGTATTTTCCTCTTTATTAGAAAAACTGCACCTAAGCTGGCAGATAAAATAGAAAAACTATTAGTTTAACAGTTAAAAAGTTAAGAAAAAGTAAATTGGACGGAAAGAGTATTATTAAAGAAAAACTGATTGAAAAAATGGCGAAAAAGGTGGGATGAAGAAAAAACAGGAAGGTGGTTTTATAAAATTCAGAAGATATTACTTTAGGAAAAAGAACAAATGGAAGATGAAATAGAAAAGAGGGGAGAGTGATAGTATGGTTAAGATTTGGGCATACAGGACTTAATTATACGCTTTTCAAAATTCAAAAGCATACTAGTGGCAATGTGATTACTGTGGAAAATATGAAACAATAGAACTTGTTATCCTGGAACGTCAAATGTGAAAGCAAGAGAAGATATATGAGGAGAGAGTTTGAATGTATTAAAGAAAAAGATTTATTTAGATATTTTCAGGAAAAAGTTGGGGATTAAATATGTAAAAATAGTTATTACCTTTTTAAAGAAAACTAAATGATTTCATAGAAATTTATTATAGATAGAATGAATGTGTTTTTGATATAGACGGGTAGAATACAAAGTTATGTATATATATATATATATATATATATATATATATATATATATATATATATATATATATATATATATATATATATATATATATATACACATACACATACAGTTTGTATTTTTACTCCTTGGAATTTCTTTAAACATTAATTAGTAGATAGTCCATCACGAACCACACTGCTAATGCTGCTAAATGTTTGTTGCCAACCGCCAGTAAATCCAAGAAGACTTTTGACTTTTAACACTTTATTTACACAATTCAAACATATAAACAATTGACGTAAAACAAGTGTCAGTTAAAAATCACTATTAAGGTAAAAAAAAAGTGTCAGTTAAAATCATTAAATTAAGGGAGCTTGTTAAAATGTATTTCTTCATCATCTGACACAGCACATAAAATATTATTAAAACCCCACAGCTGAATAAAATCCTCCATGTTGTGTGTGACTCTGTGGAAGTGAAAATCCAGCCTTATTCTGGCTTTAACCTTTTCCACAGAGACACGGCATTACGGTGAGCTCCCTCCTGCAGTCTGTCTCTATGGGACAATAAACGGCCATCTTTGCTTCACTGATTTAAAAAAAAATTAAAGTCGGGCATTTGGCGTATTTCATCTGTTTTGGCAAACTCCTATAAAAAGAGCTTTTGTAAAAACGGTCCAAAAAAAAGACTAAAACCACTAGGGTTAAAAATTGTCTTTAGTCTTGTGCATTCCATAAAAACGTGGAACACGTTTAAAATGGCAGGTTTAAAATTGTTAAAAATGGCAGGAATAGCGTTGAGTATGAAACCTGGAACTCAACGCTATTTCTGACATTTTTAATTGAAAATGCTTCCTGGATGGGAAGAGAAACGTCTTTAGACTGGGAAACAAAGTCCAGTGGTTTGTTTTTAATTTCCTTTTTTTTTTTAGAACTTATGAAGTATAATTTGTTTGCCAAATATTTGTCTTTACTTAAGTTCTTTATTGTAGTTATTAACCCATTTGGGGAACTGTTGTCATGTTTATCCACCAACTGCCACTACAAGTTTAATATTTCAAGTTACATATGATATTTGACTGGTAAATGTGAAAATTAGATTATTTCTTTTCACTAGCTTTATTTGCAATGTGGTGTCTATGGCAAGTAGTTAAAGGAAAATGTAAAAACCTTTCTGAAACAATAACTTTCTGAATGTTTACTGTCCCAATTATGCTTTGGTCTCCTATCAGGTGAAGGAAGCACATTTTAAAATGATTCATCAGCTTTATCCAACAGACCACTTTCTCTAACAGCCTCCCATCTTTTCTTGGAGTATATTTGTTTTTTGGACTGTCTTGAACTCTTATTTCAGTTATATTGTGGCTCCAATCATTTATCAATGGATTGCTGATAGTCAGAAAAAAGTAAAGCCACTGGCCGCCATATTGGTACTCCCCACTCCCACGGAGATGCGCAATAAAAATGCCTACCTGTGTAGCATTTGATGGCAAAAGCAAGCAGTTCACTGGTTGTGAGAAGTCCATTCACAGGTTTTTTCCCAGTCAGTGGATGAACTAAGAAAATCCACATATATATGCCCATGTATCCTACGGTATAGTATGTAGCCTAACATTAGTCTGGCTATTTCAGACTGACTTAAAGACATTGACTGAGTTAGCCAATCGACATTGTGTCTAATGTTAGTGAGGTTTTCAGAACACAACTGCAGGGGTGAGGAGGCAGAGTTGAGTTCTTGAAGATTTCATTGAATAACTGAGGCAGAAAACCCAAAAACCAAGGTACAAAATACATGAAAACAAAAACCAGACAACCTTATGGGGAAAAACTCACGTAGGGAGTCAGGAAAAGAAGAGGAACCAGCACTGAGGACCTGCACAGGGAGAGTATATATGGGAGACTGAACAAAGACATGACTAATGAGCTGATTGGGAGAAGGTGTGAACAGCGACTTCTAGAAGGGAGCTATGGAAAAGGAGACCAACACAAGAGGGCAAACGAGGGCAACCAAGAAAAACCTCAGAACTCAAATACATCCAGAAAACACAACAAAATAGGAATTACACCAGTAAAACTAGAAAACAAAGAAAAACATGAATCAAAGTGAAACTGAAAAGTCAAAAGAAAACTTAAAAGAACCAAGACCGTGACAGTTAAATAATAGAAAGTAGAGTAAAAAGAAAGTAATTCACTGCTAAATGTCAACATAATAATTATTTAGTGGATCATGCTGTTGTCTTTGTAGTGTTTGTCGTATTTCTCATTTGATAAACTCATGTGCTGAAATATATTGCATGTTGTTCATCCATCCCTCCATTTTTCATCATGCTTATCCCTGCTGGGGTCTCGAGGGGTGCTGGTGCCTATCTCAGCTGTGTACGAGGTGGGGTTCACCCAAGACAGGTCGCCAGTCCATCGCAGGGCAACACAGAGACAAACAGGACAAACAACCATTCACACACACTCACACCTAAGGAGAATTTAAAGAAGCCAATTATCCTAACAGTCTTGTTTGTCTGTTTTTGGACTGCGGGAGGAAGCCGGAGTACCCGGAGAAAACCCACGTATGCTCAGGGAGAACATGCAAACTCCATGCATAAAGACCCCAGGCCGGGAATCGACCCGGAACCTCCTTGCGGCAAGGCAGCAGTGCTACCCACTGCTCCACTGAGTAGCCCTATTGAAGAAAAAAAATAACTCAAACATTTTTAAAGGTTAATGCACAGACACAGCATAAAGTATATGGCATCATGCGTGCACAATTTGCAAATGGGAAAACACTACAGCATTAACAGACGTACATGAAATTCCATCTTAGAGTGAAATCTTGAACTTAAATGTAATATATAATTACCACAATAATGTAATCAATACATGTTTATAACATTTGGCAGTTTTGGCCCATCTTTATTATTATGCTCCATAAACATATTCATTTTATTGTGATGGATTTGTATAATATGTTAAATTACATGATTTATAGACTTAATTGACTTCATAATGACTGCAATGTGATGTGCCTATTTTTTATTATAGGCTAAAGTAATCTACTGATGCTATGAAACAGCCAGTGTGTGTCAAACTGATGAATTTATCTTTATTTTAAAAGTCTTAGGCCCCAATGAAAATGAGAAAATCATCTTTGTTTGATGCTTTGGCTCATATATTAATTACAGTGCGACTAGGGAGTACCAATATGGCGGCCAGTGGCTTCACTCCACCTGTACTGCCAACATGCTATCAGTGATCCAGTGAATAAATACAGATCAGAGGCTCCAATCAAGCTACAATATAAAGACGCAAAGAACCAAAGTCTCATTTATTATTATTATTTTTTTTCAATTAGAAACACAAATATTGCTAAATGTCAGTGGTCCTATATAAAACTATTTATTGTTAAATTAAAAGTTGAACTAAAAACTCTGGTTCATTGAGAGGTTCAATAAATCTGAAGTCAATGAAGACTTTAATCTTCCAAATGCCTTCAGTTAAAACTCTTTCTTTTTTTCGACTGAAATCTATGCATCCATCTTGTTCTCTATCCACTGTGCGTTTTATGCCTGTTTTTTTTTTACTCATCTTTTTACTGAAGTACAAATTATTCTATGAAACGCTCAGTATTTGACCATGTCATCAGAGCGGCTCCGTAATAAATAATACCAATAATAATAATAAAAAAGACACAATTCACGAAAAAAAAATCCCCATTTTCCAGCAGTAGAATGGTACTTGAACGCATCATCGTTCGACGTGTCTAATTCCCAGCTTCCTTCGTACTTCCGGTTTGTTTCCCCACAGTGAGGGAGGAAGAAAACAAAATGCGTTAGCTGAACTTTCCCGATGAGCTGTGCATGGTGACCCAGTAGACCTGAGCCACTAGTACCGGTAGCGGAGCAGCCATGCAGTTCTCTCCCACCAACGGAGATTTCACCTTCGTCTCCTCCGCAGAAGCCCAAGGTATGCTAACCATGCTAACAGCAGCAGCTAACAGGCCCGAAGAAGCCAACCTGGGGGTTTGTTTTCTGCTGTTTACTGTGCTCATTATCTATGATGTCTGCAAATCTTCTGCTAGCTGAGCTAAAACAGAGACAAGCATTAGAACAAGTCTTTAGTTAGCATGGTTCATGTCCGGAAAATGGCTGCATGGAGCCAAGAAGTTCCGGAAAAAAACAACAGTTCCTGTGTTTCAGTTGATCAGATCTAACTTCAGTAGTTCAGCTGTTCTCTGGTTCAGATCTAACTTCAGTAGTTCAGCTGTTCTGGTTCAGATCTAACTTCAGTAGTTCAGCTGTTCTCTGGTTCAGATCTAACTTCAGTAGTTCAGCTGTTCTCTGGTTCAGATCTAACTTCA